GTTCAATGGAAGAGAGAGACTCCCCTGGAAGTGAGGAGTCGATCGGTGGTCTCCTCGTGGAGTGTCTTCGCCGGCGTCGATGGGATTCGCCGATAAACGTGTCGCGGCGGCATTGAAGTATTCTGGCTCGATTTCTTCCACCCACGCACTCAATCGTGCAACCTGAGGCTACAACGAAGCTTCCCTCGTCGAGAAGATGGATTTAGGCTATGGCTGGGCCTGGATCCGTGGCCGTTTTGGCCGGAAAACAGGGAGGAAAAAGGGACCGTGCGCTGGCGCGGAGGAAAGAAGAAGAGAGGGAAAAGAAGAGAGAATAGGTCGGTTTCCAAAGAATTCTGGGCCATTCCGGTTTGATTCGAACCGACTTGATCCGATTCAATGGTTTGGCTTGTTTTTCGGGTTTTTCCGCATGGTTTTCGAAAATTTAAAACGGGTTTACTGGTCCATTTAATTTATTTTAATTGATTTAATATTTAATGTCCAAAATAATTCTTGGTACATTTAATTTATTTTAATTGATTTAATATTTAATGTCCAAAATAATTCTTGGTACATTTAATTTATTTTAATTGATTTAATATTTAATGTCCAAAATAATTCTTGGTACATTTAATTTATTTTAATTGATTTAATATTGCAAATAATTCCTTGGCTAACCATCTTCTAAGTTTACTTTTACATTTGATTAATATTTAAACTGTCCAACTAATAATTCCTAAGGAGTTTTATTAACAGAAAAATTTTCGATTTCTAAAGGAATTGTGAATTCATTCATACAATTTATTTTAATTGATTTAATATTTAATGTCCAAAATAATTCTTGGTACATTTAATTTATTTTAATTGATTTAATATTTAATGTCCAAAATAATTCTTAAGGAGTTTTAGAAAATTTTCGATTAGGAATTGTGATATTATACTTTGGGCTTGGGCCCAATTCGCGAATTGGACGCGGATTGAGATTGCACGGTACTCGCAGTCCACACAGTCAAAATTTATGATTTTTGATTTAATAAAAATTCAAAAGTTTCGAAAATAAAATTACGTGGTGTTTCAAATATGCATCGCACGTTCTTGAACACTAGTAATTATAAATAAAATAATTATAAAACTAAAAAAATAATTTTAAACAATTCTTATGCATTTAATAAAGTGCAAATATGTTAATCAGGTAGTAGTTTGGTTGGTTTTCTCACTTATGTGGGGAGTGAGAGGTCTTAAGTTGTTTCAACTAAGTTGTTTTCACCAATTTGGTGAGCCAAAAAAAAGAGTTACTCCTGTTTTGTAGTCCGTGTTATTTCAACCTATAAAAGCCTCAAATGAATTAAAAAAATCCTACAACCTAGCTGTGGATACAAATCAGTAAGAACCAATCATCGTCTAATTACTCATCACATGTGAATTCGAGTTACTCTTGTCTCTCCCATCTTGAGCCATAAACTAGAACTTCAACACCATATTCGGAATTGATAAAAAATATGGGAGGAAAGAAAAATTGAGAAGGAAAACGGTGCAAATTTTCTTTCCTTCACTTGTTTGGAAATGAATAAAATATTAAAGGAAGAAAAATATGAAGGGATAATAAATTATAAGACCACATGCCATTTTCTCTCTATTTATTGTATTTTTTCCAAAAAAAGTAAAGGTTAAACTCATAATTTTACTATTTATTTCCTCCTTATTTTCATCCTTACTCATAATTTGGGTGACTTAGAAGTAGAAAAGACGGCTTAGCAGCCTCTCCAAAACACTGCCTCTCCAAACATCTTATCTTAGACATAGGTATCATCTTAATATCCGAGACTAGGAATCATAACCTAAAGTTCACCCTTTATAAAGGTGTAAATCCCCAAAGCTTAATTAGTATTAAGTTTCAACTATTCCACATTTGAAGCGGTACAAGAGACATAGATAAATCTCTTTACATCCAAATTCCTCATCGTTACATTGCCCTTTTTTAGAATGCTCAATTTACTTCTTGTCGAGTATTCACCCGAAACTGATTTAAATGCGACGGATAATGTCTAACCCGAATAAAAATTGAATGGACGTGGATATGTACCAAATCCACATTTTTTTATTTTTAAAACCAACTCTATTTTCATACATTAATCCGAGCCATACTTGCTTTGAATTGACACGATTTGACTTGTCCAAATATGTGGTGGTATTAATTTTCTTGGTGTAGCAAAATATAAGTATTAAAAAATCCACCCAATACCCAACCCATGAGCATGAGCATGACAAGCTGAAGCATTAGATGATATTTGATATTGCAAGCTGTAAAGATTGTGAGAGCACCTCATAAATTAATTACTCGTCTCAAAAAATAGTAAATTTTCTTTTATCACACATATTAAGAAATGAAAGTTATTATGGTTGAGGAACATTTTTGTTTCTGTAACTTTTCTATTATACACATCTTAAATAATATATGATCAATTATTATATTGGAATAATAAAAATTATATTGATAATATAAAATAAAAAGTATAAATTTTAATTAATGATAGTGACCAACATTTATGACTTTTAAAATTCAAAATGAAACAAAAAGGAAGAATAATAAGTTGTGTTTATGGATGTACAACTACTTAATAATAATAATATTCCCGTTCCAAAAAGATAGTCCATCTTTTCTTTTTGGTATGTCTTAAAATATAGTCCACTTTTCTTTTTTGTATTATAGTTAATCCTTAAATTATCTATTATATTCTTACTAAATTTTATCTTATTTTCAATAATCCTTATTAATTATTACTTATTATTTCAATATAATAATTGCCCGTGTTATTTAAGATGGCAAAATAGAAAAGTTATATGATAAAATTGTCCTTTAACCATAATAATTACTACTTTCTTAATCTGTGTGAAAATAAAATGGACTATCTTTTTGGGACGGATGGAGTATATGAATTTTAAAATAAGAATGACTTGGAAAAAGTAAGTAATTAATGAGGATTAATGAAAATTAGATAAAACTTAACAAAGACATAATAGATAATTTAAAGATTAACTATAATATAAAAAGAGTAAATGGTTTATATATTGGACAAAATAAAAAGATGAATTACCTTTTTAGAACGAACGAAGTATATTTTTATTTTTTGATTTTTAATATTTAAATCAAAATTTATTTATGTATATTACGTTTTCTTAAATAAAAACAATATGATATATACAGTCGCAGAAAATAAAAAAATGAAAAATGACAACTATAACGTTAAGAGTTCCATTCATAGAAAAACACTTAAGGAAAAAAAATGATTAGTATAGCAAGACTGTAAGTCCTATAGGCTAATCAAGTATGCTAAACTCATCATTTTGCTCCAAATTCTTCTCCCTCTTTCTTTTTTCACCAAATATCTTGTGAACAAAAAAAAAAAAAAAATGAAAATCTGAAAAAACACTTAACGGAAAAAAAATGATTAGTATACGCAAGATCCTGTCAAGTCCTATAGGCCCCTAATCCAAGGTATGCTAAGACTCAATCAATTTTGCTCCTCATTCTTCTGCCCTCTTTCCTTTTTTCATTAAAAAACCCAAAATAATCTTTGCTGGAACATAAAAACAAAAAAAAAATGAAAAATCTGAAGCATACCTTTCTAAGCTAATAGAATAATTCACAATTAACATCTTTGGACTTTTTTTATTTACTATAGACCTCTACATGATAATGAAAAAAAATACATATTTTTTTTAGTATATTCTTCCAAAAAAAAAAAAAAAAATGAAAATCTGAAGCATACTTTCTAAGGCTAATAGAATAATTCAACAATTCAAATCTTTGACTTTTTTATTTACTATAGACTGCTAATATAATGAAAAAAATAATATTTTTTTAGTATATTCTCATTTATATTGACAACAGTGTATCAAATAAATATATTCTGATCTAAGGTAATTGGATCTCATCTATGGATTTATTTATCCATATTCCGTAAATTTCTATTTCCATAGATTTCTGTTATATAGATTTAGTTTTTTTCTTCGTTTAAGCAATGAGTTCATTGGATTTTTTTTGTAATGAAAAGATTTTGTTTGATTGAATAAAGAAGTATAACAAAATTCACATTATATAGATATCATATTTCTGGAATGCAATTCACTTTCAAGATGCTTTGATGGTGAAATAGTAGACCCCAAGACTAAAAATCTCGTGCTAAAAAGTGTGGAGGTTCGAATCCTTTTTAAGACATGCATAATGTTTAGAATATTGATTCAATTCACTGAATTATCTCTTGCATATCTATAGATTCAGCGATAGTTTAAAAACTTAATCTATTTGAAAATCTCTGAATCTAAATCTAAACTCTCATACATAATAGTTGAGGGAGAGTTTGCTCAAATTTAGCCCCTCCAACACTTGAATCTCCAATGGAAAAATTACAGTACGATCCTTGTGATTGCAAAATACAACTAATCTGTTCTTCTCTTTCTTAAAATATATTTTAATTTGTCCTTCTATACAATGTCTGCATTTTTTTTGTTAAGTCAACAAGAAAACGCAGAGGTCAAAGGAAAAAATACTACAATATTATACAAGAAAAATTATAATGCAGTTTCTATGGTTTGAAAAATACAACTAGCCCATCTTTGTGTTTTTAAAAAATAAAAAAGGTATTTTGTTATTTCATAAAGTACTTTACCGAAAAGATGTAAAAATTAGACAAAAAGAACTTATAGTCTGACAAAAGCAAAATATAAGAACAAATTAGTATATAGTATGAAGTTATGAATTTTGCTAACATTTTCCTTTCTATACTAGCAAGAAGACTTTTTTTTGGTGTTTTTGGCATTCATGTGTAAGAAAAAACTTGAAAAATATTTTGTTCTATATATAAGTTATTTATTTTGTTATATATTTAATTGGAGTTTCTTTCATTTGAATGTTTATAGGTCCTTTTTGAAATTGGCATGTTTATCAATAGTTTTAAATATTTCCTTGCTATTGAACAAATGTTTTGGCAAACCAAAAAGAGAGAGAGAGAGAGAGAGAGAGAGAAAGAAACACTTAAGTCACTGTATTACATTTCATAATTGCTAATCATTCATGGCTAATTAAATTACAAATAAACAGGTTTACAACCAAGATCAATAGATTTCTTTACAGCATCTAGCACTACTTGAGTTTTTCTACTAATTTCAGGCCATTTCGTATCAGGAAATGCCCCAAAATTCCTGATATCAGACACAATCCTGGCAAATTCTTGAACCATCGTAGCCTCTTGTGGCATTCCATTAGCCACCACAATCTTTTCAGGCTTCACATTCCATCCGATATGAAGATCTACAAATTTTGCACGAAATGTGAAATTAAAGAAAGCAGAATCCTCCTGAAATGGCATAATAAAGTCCATCAAATGGATCGATCCGTTCGATCCGACAATTCTCAAATCCATGGAAGAATATGAAAGAAATGAGCAGTGGATTGTAGAGACAGTCTTTTCTTGTTCTTCTTCGTAGTGTAAAGAAGCAGAGAAGGATAAAATTACTCCATCTGAGTTTTTTGTTACGTCTGGTAAATCAGTAACTATGTTTGGTAATTTGTAATTTTTAGCCCATAATATACTTCCAATGCAGTACCAGCCTAAGTCACCAAGTGCACCAAGAGGATCCATGTCTGGTTTAACTCTTATGTCGTTTTGGAAAAATTCTGCAGGTGGTGACATTGTTGACGTGCTGTGAAGCTGAGCATCACAAAATAAAAAATGCATTTTTATTAGAGTAGCCATTCATTTAACTAAAAAAAATCACATATTACATTTAATTTATTAGATTCAGTGTCTCTAGAATCATATGATTTGCGATTTGAATTGTACAATTCAAGTCAATTCTCATACCTAACGGTGAAAATCTTGTAGCTGGATCAGAACTGAGCATGAAGGTAAATCAATGGCAAGGATAAACAAAATAGCCAATTGGAGAAAAAAATAAAAAGATAGAGCATGTTTGGCAAAATTAGCTGTTTGAAAGTTGTTATACATTTTAATACTATTTTAGCTTTTTGAGTAGTTTTTCATTGAACGCTAAAAGCTAAACGTTACAGGGATTGACCTTTTATAAAACGCTACATTACCCTCTAAAAATTAGTTCAAACTTTATGTTACTAATCTGGGATTTGACTTTTTGACCAGTCAAAATACTAAAAGTTATTTAAAAATTGTTGTCCAACGCAATCAAAATACCCCGTGCAAACCATCCTAATAAAATAAGGAAAGTAGCTATTCTTGATTAATCATAAAGGTAGAAAAACATATAATGAACAATTAGATGACTGAACTTACAAATTCAATTCCTCCAATTAGCTTGGGATGAGAAAGAAGCTCCTTAATTTTGGCAGTTCTAGGATGGTGCAACCACATAGTTCCATCCATGAATTGCACACCATTGGATTCACATGCTTCAAGAATCTGATCTAACTCAACCACATCAAGGGCAGGTGGTTTCTCTACAAGCAAATGCTTTCTCTTTTTGGCAGCCAGAACAGCCCAATGCAAATGAAGGCTACTTGGTAATGGCATATAAACAGCATCAATTAAAGGGTCATCAAGAAATTCTTCATAGCTACCATAGATTCTGATGGTTTTTGGTAACTCATTTTTAGTGGCAAATGCTTCTGCCTTTTCAAGAGATCGACTAGCAATTGCATAGAGGGTTGCATTTGGAGCTAAATTTATGGCTCTTGCTAATTTTCTTGCTATGTTAGCACATCCCATTATACCAAAACGTATTTGGTTTCCTTCTGCCATTTCTCTTTTGCGGTTCTTGATTTGGTTGTTGGAGAGGACTGTAATGAAAAAACTTGGATAGTATTCTTTTTAGTGTTGGTGTGAGAAGATAATGCGTGGATTGCTGTGAACCTTACAACATGTAGAATTGTAGATAGCACAAAAGTTAGGTACTGTTCAAGATAGTGATGGCTAGAGTTCGCTACTTTATTTTTTGGTTTGCAACACGTGATTTTGTATTAACCTTTTTTTTTTTTTTGAGAAAAAAAGAACTTTAAAGATTAAGAAACCAAATATAATAATAGTGCTAAATTTTAAATATTGAACGACTAAATTTATAAGAGAAAACTTAAGTTCTAAAAGTAGTTCTACCCACCCCTAAATATATAAGATATGGATTCACATTTACTTTCTTAAAAGTAATAATTCATTTTAGATTCAAAGTAAAATACAAGTTATTATTTTGATAGCATTACTAATCAAATTATGAAATATTTTTATTTTTTTTAGAATGGTAATTTCCACAATAATCTCAATTATAAATTATATATTTGTAAATTCTTTAAACAGCTTCCTAATTGAATATATTAATACTGGGTAGATCTGGTTGGCGAATTTTAAAATTAAAAGCTGCCCAACAAACTTGAGCTGAGAATCTTGAAAGAACCTCAAAATCCTAGTCAAGAGGAAAAAGAGAGACAGAAACAAGCTCCAAGAAATTCCTTCAATCAACTCGGGGCCATTAGGAAAATCAACTGTCAGTTTCATACCTCTATCGCATACCTGATGATTGAAGGATCCCACAGGGCATTTTTCGTCTGATTAACAACTAAAGTACAAAGCAGTAAAGAAAATGAACTCTCATTGAAGTTGAATTGTGCATAAACAACATTACTTTAACAAACGACAATGTGATAAATACCTACTGCAAGTGTTGTTGAGACAAAATCTTAGTAGACAGCGAAGGAAAAAGAAGGGCACAGCAATAATACAAAGCCACTCAATCAAGGATCATTTCAAGCTAAAATTAGAAATAAAAAGAACTTTAACATTCATTCCCTCATGTTATCATCTCCATCTTCCATATCGCTTATATCAAGATCAGCGAGCAACTCTTCGAGTGGAACAGATGGCACATCTTCTCCATCAGTCATCGATGCCATTTCTGAAGGCTGATATTCTCCATTTCGATACAATGATACATTGAACCTCAACTCTGGGTTCTCTTCCAGATCCCTCAAGAACTCTTCATATTCTGTGTTCATCTTTTCTGGGTCGTGTCTACCTCTTGATTCATCAACTTCCATATTGAGAGACTTGAGCTTCCAAGAACGAGGCTTCCCACGTTTCCGCTGGCGTTTTTCCTCATAGCTCTTCTTTATCAAAATTACTTCTGGAAGTACCAGACCCTTGTACTTGTCCAATTCAATATCATTGTTGTTGGCACTATATAGGTCATAACCAAGGGCCTGATCACCAGGTTTCAAGATATGGCCTAAATGTGTTTTTATATAGAAAATTGTATCATTCTTCCCAAAATCCGACAAACGGGCTACTTGGGCCTCTGCTACGGCGTACCTTGAGCCACCTACATTAACTTCAGGAGAAACAATTTCAACATCTAAAACAATATACTCCACAAGCTGCCTGCTAGTGAGTAGAGACTTGAAGGATGATCTCCAATACTGGTCAGAATCCAAGTAGCAATGTCTAAGAGTGAAAGGATCCAATAGAGCTATGCTGTTTGTCACTTTAGTGCATATTACAAGAGGACCGATGTTCCCCAAACTAACTGCAACTTTTGGAGGTAGACAAATCAAATCTTCACGACAAATTGGAGAGATTTCAACAGAGAAAGTATATTTGTAATTGTAGTTGTTGCTCTTGGGATCATGGGACACGAGTTGCTTGTCATGGCGACTCCTAACTGGAGCAACTTTACCTAAAAATTCAACAAATTTCACACCATGACTTCTATTTCCAAAGAAAAAATCAATACCTTGATCCATCTGCTTTATCTTTATAGCACGGACTGCAGCATCATGCTTCAAAATCAATTGCTCCAAGTAAAAGAAAGTTCGTCTATGAGAAACATGTTGCCGGAGTTGCACAGAAGCAACCCACTGATCAGGATTGGCTTGCACCCTTGTGCAGGCTTCACACATGGACTCTTGCTGAACAAACTCAACAATATATGCTTGTTCCAGTACTGCACCGCTGAGAACCTCTTTCTGAACTCTGACCCTGAGCTTAATCCTCTTGGAATGTGGTTCAGTCCATATAAATTCAGCAGATACCGGCCTAACATCTTTCGTCTTAATGATGCTCATACAAAATGCCATCAATTCCTTGGATTCCAGTTGGGCCTTAATCCTAGTACTTGGTGGCCGCAAGTAGGTATCACATTCAGGGCAATGTCTAATGATTGCATGCTTCTTCAAACCTTCAGTAATATCAACCTCTGCTCGTAAACACTTGACACACATATTGGCAGCATTTGGTTGCATTGGAATGCCACATTTACAACATAAAACACTTCCAATGGTTTGACGAACCATAAACATGCCTGCTTCTTCGGCCATGGCTGGTGAACATAACATAATTTGAAATTATAAATATAAGTCAGTTACAAAATATTATAAAATCCAGAAATAACAGTGCTTATGTTGATTTATAACCATGCAACTTCTGGCACAACAAGTATTTGGCTGTAACAAACTCATCAAAAATAGATATTACAAAATTGGCAAAAACCCCAACTCAAACACCAAAACCCACAAACTCAATCTTTCACTTATCTTCTTCAACATGTTCAGCGTCTCAAATTTAACTATAGCAACTAACTAATAAAACAATATTGAGAAAATAGTTTACAAAAACAAAAACCTCTAGTCCAGTATATAGAAAAAGAAGTAGAAATTATAACAAACTAAAAGAAATCATTCAGTAAACGAGAAAAAAAAAAAAAAGAAATGCAAATAGAAATGACCATAGACAGAGCTATCAATCAATAAATAAACCAAATCGAAAAATCCTTTTCCAAGAATTCCTCGGCAACCATACGGAGAACAAAAGGAAGAAGGAAAAGATGGAGACTTTACCTGATTGATTTGAAGATCCAATTGAACTGAGAAAATTGGCAAGGAGAAGTGAGGGAAAGTTAGAATAACCCCTCGAGAGTTGAGAGTCGGCTCTGCGAAAAGTTGGAAATGGATATAAATACCCTATGAACCGACTTGTATGGATCTAAGCCTCATATCAAAACGACGAAGTTCTTAGGTCTAATGAATTTGGGCCTATGGTGTCTGAGTCAAACAAACACGGCCCAATAGTTTTATCATGTGAGCCGTGACTTTACTTATGGCTTTCTAGATCGGCCAACCACCTAAATTTACCCTTAAATTGTTTATGAAAAACTTATAGTATGTAAAACAATTTTTTTTTTTATTCTTTTAACCATCTGCTGCCCAAAGCCGGGTAGAAAAACACTCATTTCTAAGTGTTTAAAGATACTCCATATCCAGTGTTCGAACTCAAGATCTCTGATTAAGGAGAAATGATCTTTTTCGTTCCATCTTAACCCTTGAAGATAGTATGTCAAATTTTACATACATCCATTTTTCTCTTAAAGTTACAAATTTTGACGATATTACACATATTTTTACATTAATAACAATAATTTTTAAGATTTTTATATTTTATTTTAAAATATTAATTTGATATTTCTAATTTAAAGAATAGTGTAGTAATTTTTAATGGAGAAGAAGGGATTGGGATTAAACTAGAATTGAGAAACTCGAAAAAAAAAAAAGGAAAATTGAACAATCTTACCTAATTCTGATTCAGTTCTTAAGTCATTTAATTTCTATTTTGATTCTGAATTAAAAAAAAAAAAAAAAAGAATTAGGACTGGAGCCGCTAAGCCGTAATTGTATGTAAAAAGAACAAGTATAAATTGGTGCCCAAACAACCATATCCAAAATTGATATAACATACTCCATTAAATTCATGATTTTAATTTGTGGTAGTACTAAACTTTATTCATTTGATCACAATAATAAGCTTTCAACTCAAAATCCTCAGCACTAAAATCATCAAATATGAAAGGAAAAAAAAAGGACAAATTATTTTAACATTATGGTCAAAAATGAAATTTATAAACAATATTAATTAAAGGAAAAACAATGATACTCCCTCGTTCTATTTTGTTTGTATAGTTTGACAAGATACGCCTATTTTGTTTTTTTTTTTTTTTTTTTTTTTTTTAATTTGTGTAAGTTACTAAACTTTTATTCACATTTGAATCACAATAAATAAGCGTTGTCAACTCAAAATCCTCAGCAACTAAAATCATTCAAAATAATAAAAGAAAAAAAAGGACAAAATTAATTTTAACATTAATGGTAGAATGAAATTTTATAAACAATATAATAAAGGAAACAATGATACATCCGTCGTTCGTTATTTTGTTTGTATGTTTGAACAAGATACGCCTATTTGTTTTTTTTTTTTTTTTTTTTTTTTAAGAAAAGTTGAAGATCAATTTGAATCCATGAACTTGTTTAATAGGAATAAAAAAAAAAGGGTCAAATTTTTTTTTTTTTTTTTTTTTTTTTTTTAAGAAATGAAGATCAATTTGATCCATGAACTTGTTTAATAGGATAAAAAAAAGTCAAATTTGATCTTCTGGATCAATTTAACTCTTTAACTGGTTTTGATTTTTACAAATTAATAATTGATTTAATTGAACATGATGACTTTTTGTTATACACTAAAAATGCTTATAGCAAATTTTTAAGGCACTCATGAATATAAATTTAAAATCTATAAAACAACATTTCTTGTAATATAATAAATTTATAAATATGCATTATAACTTTAATTTATTAAACTTGAAAAATGCATAGATTTCATAAGCAATAACCCAGTAGTAGATGTTAATTTTAAAATATTCAAATTAATATATATTTATAAATTCAAAACCATCAATCATGATAAAGAGAGATATAATATACTTTATATATCACTTTTCTATATTTTATACTTAATTAATTTTTTAATAAATTAGTTAACTCGATCCCAACTACAATTTTAATAAATGCCTATATATTGATTTTCACACTTATAAGTATAATGAAGAATTAGAAATTAAATTGACTCAAGATGCCAAATATGATTTTTTAATCATTTCAAATAAGTTGAGCAGTTAAATTAATTTAAAATATTAAATCTAATTTTTTAAATTATTTTAAACAAGTTTAAGTGCTACGTTGGTCCAAAAGGTCAAGTCTAACATTTTAGCCTCTTTAATAAGTTCACGAACCAAATTAGCCTTTATTTATTTATTTTTTATCCATAACTCATTAAAATATTAATAAAAATCATTTATTTAATGAACGATCATAAATGTTATAACGTGAAAAATAATTGATTACATATACAAATTTAAAAACCTTGCAAAAATTTTGGGATATAAAAAAAAAAAAAACAAGCAAACAAATGGAATATCCCAAAAAAAGAACGAATTATCATATCTTCCCAAAAAAAAAAAAAAACCACTTATAATGTAACATTTAGTATTTTATTTATTTTTCCAAAAAAATTAGGGAAAAATTTAACTAGACCGCGTTTAGCCCACCTATAGACCAAACTAATGAAATTTAATATTTTTATTGAAATGAAGGTATTTCTAACCATACACTTAAAAAAAAAAGTCGAAATACTTTTAAAAATTCTTAATTTTATTGATTTGATCCACAAATGGCGCCTTTGAACTCTTTTTCCTAAAAATTATAACACATGTAAATTGGACATATCTGCTCAATAAATCAAATAATCTTTAACACTTTCATCAATTAAACAATTCATAAACTATAAACTCAATTAAATTTCATAAATTTTTCTATTTCTTAATTCTTTCTACTTGAAGAGCATCTTTAACAGCCTATATTTTCTCATCATTTTCCAAAATTTCCCCCTCACAGGGAGTAAACCATTCCGTTTTCAATCCATTCTTCTCTCCTTACATCCACCTGTTGAAACTCACTGTACAACAAAACTGTTCTTTTCTAATCTGTACATGTAAGTAGATACCTTTGCTTTTCTGAAACTATACAACAAAAACTCTCCCTCTGTGTTCTTAATGAATGGCAAAGGAAACTCTCGTGTAATGACAAAAATAATCTTGACATGAAGGATTAGGATTAGGATTCTGCTTTCTTTGTTTAGGATACGAAGCCAACCTCATTTGCTAGCACCTCTAGCTGCTGCGCGTTCATTGATAACAAGATTGGATCCAACACATTACGAGGGAATTTTCGCCACATTTGCTGTAAAAAATGTTTCATTCTTGTCACAGTTTGTGGTGAGGCTAAATTGCTTCCTTGACTTATAACCTATAGCGTAAAGAGAAAAAAAAAAAAAAAAAAAAAAAAAAAAAAAAAAAAAAGCGCAGAAGGAGCAGCAACAAGCAACTATCTTAGAGAACTAATGCATTAACAAGATATGCCGAATCTTGAATATACAGTCTTTTTTATTGTTGCTTTTTTAATTTCATTAAAAAAAAAAAAAAAAAAAAAAAAAGACGCAGAAGAGCAGCAAACAAAGCAACTATTAAGAAAATATGCATAACAAGAATGATTTGAATATAAGTCTTTTTTTATTGCTTTTTATTTCATTTAGCAAATGGAAATTTTTTTTAAAATAAATAGATAAACAAGAAGCAAGATTTTACCTCAAGGAAGACAAGGATTATCTTATGAAGGTGTTGACAATTGTTCCCTAAGAGTACTATGTCTGACCTGAATTAATTGACAGTATGCAACTAATTATAATTGAAGTTTGAAAGGAAACAACTCAGCAAAAATGGTGGATTAATGGTGAAAATAAATATGCATGCACACAGACACAGACACTATAGTATTGTAGGATGAAAAGTTAGTTACCTTTCAACCATTGAACAAAGCTGTTCATGCACAAATCGGGCTTCTACTAAATCATCTTTGATGGGCAAGAAGCTTAACCAAGTGGGAACAAGCTGTCAAATATTAGTCTGATCAATAAATTGATTGCAGAGTATCGAGCAGCAGAATGTTAATAAGAGGATATATAAAGTGATTACTATGCTTAATGGAAAGAACAGGACATAATTTGTCTGCAAATAGATTATTTATGAATGGCTTGACAACCTGTAATACTTTAAATCTGAAACATTTGGTTAAATAGCTGCCTCCATTTTATTTTCCTTCATAAGGACCAATTAGCTGATTTTGCTGCAGGATCTTCAATAATGCAAATAGAGTCTTTATTTGGAATGTGAAAAGCACTGTCAAGATCGTAGGCCTTGTAATTGAACACTGCTTATCGACTAAAACTTCATGCCCCATCTAACAGGGTTAAACTTTGAACCTATAGTTCTTTTACCATTTATGTTACTCAAATTAATAGTACCACATCTGCAGTGGAGTCGATGAATTTCTTGTCATATCTCTTAAAAGTAATTCCATTGACCTATATCTATCTTTAAATATACTGATGTGACAATTTCAACATACTGGTAGTTGATACATCAACCTGTTATTCAGAATTTATTAGTCTCTTTGCATCAAATGATTCTCTTAGCAACCGAACAACTATGTAGATATATCCTACAATATAATTTCTAGTTGATTGTCTGAAGTTCGAAAGTAGAAATCTAGAAAACGAAACCATTAAGCCTAATGAAAGGCCATATGAACAAATATATATCATTTTCAGAAATATAAACTAGAGGAGAAATGAAATATCTTGAAGTTGACACCATACGAACAAGACAAGGAAATGTCTTTCCTTGCAAAGCATGATTTCATTTCTAAGTTGGAGTTGACACCAAATATTTGATATTTGGAATTTGGAATAGAATATGAAATATGCCCTTTTTAGTCACCTTTTTCCCTTTTGAATTACTTTTTCAAATTAAACATGAAGCGCTCTGCTTTTTCTTTTCCAAAAAAATGAGTAAAATATTCATGCAACTTTTCTGCAGTTATATGCCTTAGAGGTCTGGTTCAAATCTTGATATTCTGCATGACCAAAAACCAATCAAGAAGGAATGAATGGGGTTGGTGTGATCCTCAAATGCATCTCCTAGATTTCAGAATTGTACTTGGCACTCTTGACCAAAATACTCACAATAGTTTCAGTGTGAATTTAAGTGCAAAATCCCTCACCTTCCCAGCATGCTTCGACCAACACCACCATCCAACTCAAATCAAAGCAAAGGCCATAAAGGAAAAAAAAGCAATATTTGAGGGAGATAGTTGGAGCACTCGTGTCTAAATGGTGAAGAATACAAGTTCTAACCAGAAATCAAGGTAGCCAACCTTAAGGGATGCAACAGAAAGCTAGCAAATACAAAAATGAAAATTCAACAACATACTCATTGAAAATCTCTGAATTTCTGTAGCAATAGATGGGAATGGCAAAATACTACCTTAGCTGCATTTGTGAGGGCACGGTGAAATTCACATATTACCCCAATGGCTGAAACTGCAATGTCAGAGGCCTCTAAATCCTCCCTACAGGACCGATCAGAATATGCCATCACCCCACCTAGTTTTGACAGTGCACCTGGAATTCTTAGATATTAACTGTTGTATTCAAGTTATTTGAGTCAACATGAAACATGCATGCAAAAGCAGAATAACCAATATACTTTTGATAAAAGGTCTGAATTGAGATCCACCAAACTGTGCACAGATTCGTATTCCAAGTGTAGCTTCCTAAAATAATCACAGAAGAAAAAACCAAAGTTTAGGTACATAACAGAAAAAAGAAAAAGAGAACAAAAAATCTAGGTATATAAGAAATTATGCAATGGCTCAAACAACTGACTGATGTTAAGATGACAACCTTTCTAAGTTCTGAATTCTTGTCAGTGCAAGCTTCTAATAAGACAGGAAGATAATCAACACAATGCCTACAAAGAAATGAGGATGTAATGCTTATTAAGGAGGAAATCATTCATGATCACTGTTCACGTATACCATAGGGAAGACAAGATTGGTTGAATGCTTACTTGAAACATACTTCGGGCCTTTGTTTTACAACAATGTTGAAAGTACGCAGTGAAATGGTTCTACATCTGTTTGTTCTGTTGTTATCCTGTATTCATCCCATGAATTGAAGTAAATCCATCCCAGATAATAAAATGTAAAACCTAAATAGTGTAAACCTAAACCTGTAAATTGAAGAACCATTCATAAAAACAAATCATCTAAATTTTTTGTTCTCTGTTCTTATAATTTTTCAAGGTCTGGAACATTGACTAATTTTAAACACATGCCACATCTATATGCAAGATGCCAAAAATATTTATTGTGGCACGAGTATTGACATGTGTATTCCCTAGCATGTCCTTTTATGCATATGCATAATTGCGGAGAGGTATGTATTTTTCAATTGAGATTGAAATATTGATTCATTATATTTTGTACCTGTAGTACAGCAAGCAATTTTCTCAACACCATATCCAAATCCATGTATATAGTTAAGCAATCTTGATATATACTCTTTACAAAGAAAAGCAATGCCGAGGCAACTTCTTCCTGCAACTCAAATGCAAAGGAAAAAAATATGTAAGTTGAATGAAAATACAGACATCTATATTGATAAACTAGTTAAATCATCCCTAATTATCACCTGCAGGAAAACAACTCCAAAATGAAATTTGCAAATAATTTGAAAGACAAATTTAAGATTGGGTGGGGTAGCTGTTCAGCAAATAACAAACAAAAGAAGAAAGGCAGAAGCACATATTAGCTACCACCCCTAGAATCAACACACGCATTGAATGGTTCCTTCAAGTCAAGACGATATGACATTTGATTATCGTAGAGTTTTCTAAACTTCTTTTTTCACTTGTATCTTCAAGATCATGCTTCAATTTTTTGACGCAGCATGTAATTTTTGAATTTAAATAACTCATTGTTTATATTTTGATGATGTAGCCATCTAAGTTCCACATTCTAGCGCAGACAAAACTATCATTCCTGGGGTAAATATGCCACACAGTTTCTTAGTTGAGTCAACTGCCAAGAAGAAACATGCAACAAAAATTATTACTGGATTTCAAGCACCTTTTGTCAAACAGCCTCTAGGTTCATCTCCGAATTCAGCTTTTTTGTTATCTCCTAACCTGCCTAATAGTATTAGTTTGGCCTTTCTTTTCCTAAACAAAAAATACAAGCACCCTAAATAATTGGTACATGAAGAAATATAGAATCATAATTTTTCTTTAAATTACCAAAAAAAAAAAAGGGAAAATCTTAACTACTATCTGATAATCATTACACTTCTGCAGCCACCACCAAAACCTGTCATTTTCTGACAAAGTCATCAATAGAACTCCAAAAAAAGTGAAGATTAAGCCCCAAATATATGATCTTCGATTGGAATTTTGGCAAAGAAGAAGCACCAACTAATCCAACCTAACCTCATTGAAAGAAGAAAAGGTCTCTCAGATCGAGGACTGCTAACTGATTTTTAATGGATGCTAAGAGTCAGCCATAACCTCATACAAAACTTCACATAATACAAGTTCGTCAATTTACATAATCAAGTGCATAACAACTCTCCCCTCCCAACCAAAATGAAAAACATCTGGAGCCCAAAATTGATAACATTGTTATAATCAATAATTTAACAATTTGCATACCGCCACTCTAGGATTTTGTTTTTTGCCAACTGCTGCAAGAAGTGCAGGCACAATCCTTGAATGATGAAGAATTTGAAGCGAGCCAACCACATCTGTATGCATTTGCATAAAATTAAAAGCCGCCCAACAAACTCGGGGGTGAGAATCTTGAAATGACCTCAAAATCATAGTCAAAGCTTGCTGCAAATAATCTTCCATCATTATCTGCAGCAGTACAAAGGAATAAGAAATCCAGAAACAAGCTCAAAGATGTTCCTTCAACCAACTCATAGCGATTAGAAAATTAATAAAATCAGTATGAGAGCTATTGCAGTTGTGCATAGCTGAAAAGATTAAAGGATCAGGTTCTCTGGCAGAGCTTTAATCATGCAGGATGGTTATTAACAACTAAAAGTACAATATTTCATAAAGAATCCAAAAAAAAAAAAAAAAAAAAAAAAAAGAATCAAAAAAAAAAAAAAAAAAAAAAAAAAATGAAAAAGAAAAAAGGTTGCTGATTAACAAGAATATGAACAACTATATCAAGTTAATAGTAGTCAATAAGTCCTAGATTTTTGTATGATATATACATCTATAATAAAATTCTAAAATGTAAACCCATCAGTGGATGTTGTTGCTAGTTAAAGTTAAGGATCAAAATTAGAATATGGAGAAGTCCAAAAACCTCTCTCCCATTCATCATGTTCCCCTCTCTGACTAGTTAAGTTGCTGAGAACTTTATCTTTTAAAATTTTCAGTATATGATATTTTCTACCATCCATCTCAATCAAGCATAATTGAAAATTTGAACTCTCAAAGATTAAAAAATATTTGCACGTCACATGACTAATCAAAGCTAATTCTAAACAGTCATTAAAACAAAATAATGGTGAAAACATTATTACCATTTCCTGTGAGCACTCCTTAGAAATGACACCAAGCATAGTAATTCCTGCATGGCGTCTCTGCCATTCTATTGCATCCATATAAGTAGGCAAAAGTTTAAAACCAATGGGAACTATATTTTTCCCACCTAAAACTATTGACATCTGCTTCAAGCACTTGATTCCATAGTTATATGTGTCTGTTTTCCCTGCATTATCACCCTCTATACTTCCCATCTCGTACCATGCAATATCATCTTGAATACCAAGAAGCATTCTCATTGGAATAATAAACAACCCAACCATACTTGCAGAAGGCAACACTTTCAATGCTGGAGCCAAATCATTTGCTTCTACCACAGTCATTAAGAACTCAATCGCACAATTTTTTGTTTTGTCTTTAATAATTCTACTCTCAGCAATCTTAAGCATATCAGAAACTAAACTATTCAAGTAAGGCCTCAAAATTTGAGGCTCTTTCGTAACCAAATTAATTAGTTCTTGTAAACCTTTTTGAGCACATTCTTCTTTTTCACCTTTCAACAAATCAAACACTACCAACATCATAGTTCGAAACAAATCATTAAGCCAATCACGCCCTAAAGACCCTGAAAACAAATGTAATAAACTAATCACAGACCCAAAAGCAGCTATTTTTACATCAAAATTGTTTGAAGCCAATCCACGCAAAAGTCCTCCATGTAAAACCTCAATTCTCGACAACAAAGCATCACAGATTACCCTTCTACAGTCATTAGGCAAATGTGAAAACACCAACAAAGCAATTTCTTGAAATTTTTCGTTCTCCATTGCAAGACACCTGACTAAAAATTCAAGAAGCTCTTTCCATTGCTCTTGCCTTTTATAAACCTCACCCGCAATTTCAGACACTACCCCGCAAATAATCCTTAAGAAAGGCATACATTGTTCCGTTTTAAGGCAGTCAAGAACTTGAGTTTTCACATTAACTTGCGCATGAGGAGATAACTTAGGCCACAAGTTTTGAACTTGAACAAATCTAAGAATACGGGCAGAATTTGCTCTAGTGTCCATGTTAGAGGCATATCTAAGCAAATAAAAGAGCTTTATAAAAAGAAGACAGGGGTAGTGATCTTTACAACAGAGGAGGAGATTATAGGCATGAGATCTTTGTGGTTCTTGAGGAGAAAGCAGAAGTGAAAAGAGGGCTTCCATTAGTTTGACATCGTTTGAACTTAAAATCTGATATGCTTGGGCTTGCAATTGCTCTGGAAACCGGGAAGACTCCATTTGGGTTTTGTTTGATGTTTCAGAATCCCTTTGAAAATAAGAGAGATTTTCAAACGACAAGGGTTTTATGGTGGGTGGGTTGGTTGGTGGGATGAGGTTCAAGGTTTCAGTCTTAGTGGCCGTTCAGAAATAAAGAAGGCATATCGGGTGCATTTTAGGAAAATAACCGAAATTAAAGTAATTTATAATATTATTTCGTGGTGGTCTTTTAAAATATGTATATTAACACCTTCTTTGGCATTAAGAAAATTTGGGAAAATTTTTTTTCTAATTTGACCTCGATTTGTTTTTGGCAAATATTTCCCGAATAAGTTATTATTTATTGTTTGGTTAAAATATAGAAATTAATTAAAAAATATTAATATTTTCAATTTATAGAAAATATAAAATTATAGAGATTTAAAGCATGAGAAAAATAAATAAAAACGATAAGTTATGGCAGCTGTCCATAAAACTATTTATATTACCTGAATTGATCCCAGAATTTAAACCTAAAAATAAACTCATTTCATCAAGCTACATAAATCAATCATTGAAATTATAATAACTAGTCTTGTAACCACGTGATGCGCGGATGATATAATTTTCTGTTTTTTTTAATTAAATTAAATGTAATTTTAAGAAAATTATTTTAATTTAAATAATTTACTTATGTGACATTTTTATCTGGCAAAACGATCCTAAGAGGGCGGGTAAAACAGAACTCCTAGCTAGCTCTAAGATGACAGACTAACTATAGGTAGTAGAATGCGGGACACATGAATGAATTGGATCATATATCGAAAAAGGGGAAACTAATTATCAGAGGCATTTTTTGGTGGAATGGTTTGTAGAGTTGAAAGAATTTAAGGTTAAGTGTGCTCGCCTAACGGAAATCCTAGGATGAACGACCTCCTGGGAAGTTCTCCATTTCACCTGCGGAACAAAACCGTGCGAGTCTTGCCAATCCAGCATGAGATAGAATTGGCTTGACCCAAAGCGGACAGTTTCTCTAGTAGTTGGAGTCCGGCATAACAATTGGTATTAGAGCAGACCCCCTCTAGTAGATGTATGGGCATAACAATTGGTATTAGAGCGGATCCCCTCCAGTAGATGTATGGTTCGATGACGAACCATGCTGCCAGCTCTGCAAAGCGATCTTAAGATGGCAGGTAGAGTAAAACTCATGGCTAGCTATGGATAGTGGAATGCAAGACAAAAGAATGAATTGGATCATATATCGAAAATGAGAAATCTAATCATCAAAGACGCTTTTTAATGGAATCACTTGGAGAGTTGTAAAAACTCTAGAGTTAAGCATGTTCGCTTAACGGAAATTCTAGGATGAGTAACCTATTGGGAAGTTATCCATTTCACCTGCGGGACAAAATCATGTAATCCAATATGAGATGGAATTGACTTGATCCAAAATGGATAATTCATTTGATAGTTAGAGTAGTGCATGACAACTTATGTATTTTTTATTTAATGATCGAAGGTAAAATTATGGGTTCTTTTTTAAATTCTCAAATATTGAACCGAAATATTATTGTAAGCAAATTATTGTTATTCAATTGATATGTTTAGTTAATTATTTATTTTTTCTCTTTGAAATTCTCATATATATAAATTAAATGAAGTATAAAAATATTAAATCTTGATGGAAGGTAAAATTATGAGTTCTTTTTTAAATTCTCAAATATTGAACAATATTTATTTTTTCTCTTTGAAAATTCTTCATATATATAATTAAATGAAGTATAAAATATTAAATCTTGATCGAAAGCTAAATTATGGTCTTTTTTAAATCTCAAATATTGAACTGAAATAACTTAATTTGCAACAATAATTATTGTAAGCAAATTATTGTTAATTTCAAGTTGATACTATTTAGATTAATTATTTATTTTTTTCTCTTTGAAATTCTCCATACTATTCAATATTACAATGAAAGGTTTTTTCTCTTTGAAATTCTCATATATTCAAATTAAATGAAGTATAAGAATATTTAATTCTAATGAAATAAATTTTACTGAATTGAAATTAATGTTTAATTCTATTTGTTAATCTATTTATATTATTTAATTAATTTTTATTAATTATGACTCTATTATAACTCAATTAGTTTTTTTTATAGAATAGAAACTATTTAATAAAAAACTTTATATTTATTATATATTAATTATAATGAATCTTATTAGTCTGATTGTAACTTCATTATTTAATAAAGAACATTTAATTTTTATTTGAATATAAAAGATATTAATTATAATGACAAAATAAAATGCCATGTCATCACTTTTATATTCTAACATATTGTCACACAAACATTTAAGCCTTAAAAATTATATATTTATATAGATTGCAAGCTGCTTGGATTAGCTATAGCTTTTGATAGTAAAAAACTCTTTTTCTTTTTTTTTTTTTTTTCCCTCTCTTTGGGGTGACTATTTGAGCTTTAATACTTATCTGATCACATTTTAAACAATTTGTGAAAATATTTATTCTAAAACATAATTAATTTAATATGATTAGCCAACTTTATGACTTCTTTTGTAATAAAAAGATATTTTAATTAATTTCAAAAATATTTTAATACAAATTTTTAATTTGATAGAATAACATGTATAATTTAATATTAACAAAAGAATATATTATAATAAATTAAATAAAAATTATATACTCTCTACCCTGTTTTTTTTTTTTTTTTTTTTTTTTTTTTTTTTTTTTTTTTTTTTTTTTTTATCTCTATTTCCTAGATTTTTTTTATCTTATCTTATCTCTATTTCCTATATTTCATAACAAGTTACAGTACAAACTCTAATCAAATTGCATGAATTTGTTCTAAACTTCTTTGATTTATGGTACTGGTTGATCAACTTCTACGCCACTTCACTTTCTTGATGAAGTCGATTAAAGAGAGATAATTTATGGTTTGTGACAACTAAAATTAACAGTTGTATATCTAAGGTTGTCCACGTTTACAAGGTAATTCTATATATAATTCTGTCATCTATATATTTTAGATATGAATTATAAATATAAATTCAATCTTGAATTTTATTTGATTGGTTATCATATAGAATATAATTCTAAAATCAAATTAATATATTATATGTATAAATTCTAGAAATAAAAACTCTAAAAGAGTAAATTTCAGAAGAGACCTTAGACATGACCGATGATTTTTAGAAGAAACTCAGGTAATTAAAACCATTGAATTTGATGAAAATAATGAGATCTCAATAAGTTATGTCATGTCAAGGACAATATACAATCGATATAAAATAAATACCAACTGTATCTTTTACATATGTTATACACTTAATATTGTGAAAAATAATGAGGATCTAAAATAAAAGTTTGTTATGAAATATAGACATAAAATAATTGGCCAAAATGAGGTGGCGCAGTTGAGATATAATTTATTTGAAAAATAAGGTTTTTGGACTTGTAGTTCAAACATCAAAATATGCCAAGCGAGTGAAGTACAATTAAATATTTATACAAAAATAAAACGAAAAAATGGGCTTGAGATATAGAGCATAACTTTGTACATATATCTTTTTGCAAAGAATTGGTATTCGTTATGAAAGAAAATATATTCTCATATGTTAGGCACAGTTATATTTTGATATGTGAGTAAGTTTGACAATTCATGAAAAACTCGATATGCGTCTATGTAAATAGTGGTTGCCTATTTATATGGTTCATTTGATATAAATATCTATATGAAAATCCTAAAGAATTTAAGTTGCTTGAAACACAAAAATCAAATTCTTGAAAAATTATATAGAGCTCTATATAGATTACTGGATAATGATAGTCCTTGAAGAATTAAAACATGCTTGAAGTATGCAAATTTGAAACCCTGAATATGTATTCAGGTAAATTATAAAGATTCTATATGAATTAAAGAAATTTGAACAAAGATGGTATGATCGCCTTAAAGTTATATATGGCTAAGCAAATATCATGATATATATATATATGCAAATATCATGATATATATATATATATATATATATAGTATATATATAATAAATATATAATATATAGTTTGAAACAAATATAAGTGTCGATCTAAGGTTGGGAAAACAAATATATGATATGTGTGGGTCCCGTATATGAATGGCACAAACCCAGCAGGGAGTGATTGGTTTCTAAAAATAGATATAAATTTAGAATTTCGCAAAACAAATATAGAATTTTTAGAGTGCAGCGGAAAAAATACAGAACTCGTTCTGAGGAATAGATTAGAATTAGAATCACTTCACAATTGTTCTATTTATAAAAAAGATAGAAGTTGCCTGCTTGCAAAGTGCAGCTATGATTAGAAACAGCTTCACACTGACTTATTCAATTTATTAGAAACTTCTTTATGAAAGAAAGCTTATTGAAAAATGTTAGAAACTTCCTCATAAAGTTTAGGAAAAAATCATATAAGACTGTGATGAAAGGACACGTTATTGAATTTCTAGAAACTTCTCACAAAGGAACTTCCTCATAAAGTTTAGAAAATCATACAAGACTATGCGAGAGACAATTATCGAAATCAGACAAAGCTTTAATCAAGTTTAGAAAACTGATTAGAAATCCAAATAGTGAAATATACTTGAAAATAGAAAAACAGTTTAGAACTTGGTATATTCACTGAGTAGAAGTCTATAGTTCTAATGTTCAGAAAATATAAAGCTTATTTCAGTTTAGAACATCAAAACAATTAACAACTTTAGCATTTATAAAATATAAATAGAAGTATGAGTAAAATATTTATCAAGCAAAACTTCTGAAATAAAAAGATCAACACAGTGATTTATCGGCACTAACTCGCCTACATTCCACCTCCCAAGACGCACCTTGAGGATCCTCAACTATGTGTATCTCTTTTTCAAGGGTAAGAGACCAACACCAACAGTACAAGGCAATTAGATCAACACCTAGATCTACCCTTTTTGTCCCACTAGATTTCCAAAGGTTCTAGTTAACCTTCAACCCCTTTTCTGTTTTGGCAGGTACAGAAACTTCAATTCAAGACATTTAAAGATCCCCACACATGGAGGAAGGTCGCTTTGATAAACCTTCTATCACAATAGCTTCTAAACCTTAA